GACACAAATAATCCCAATATTCCCAATGGTTATTGAAGAAATATGTCGATGTTGGGGAACGGGGCCCCCTCCTCCAGAAAGTTCATGTACATCTGCAAGGTCTGTGGCTGCAAGGTCTGTCTCATCAAGACCTGGTCAGCAGCATCCAGTGATTTGGGGATAGGTCAAAACCTATGAAACTACCATATGACTGGGGGGATTCATCTCCACTAACCAGCTATTTTGGGGTACTAATCCCTTCTCCCCATTACTAAACCTCCCCTAAATATATGATAGAAATAAATACCCCAAATTAGTGGTTTTGGGAAATGTCAGATTCATCAATTTGAGTTTTAATTGATCCCCTTTAAAAACAAGTTTAAAACCAAGATCCAATTTTCAGGTTTTACCCCCTAATAATAAAAATAAAAATAAAACTAGTTCACCCCCCATGGGTACCTCTTCTGTTTTTATTAGGGTCCGTGTATTGAAATCGAACAAAATACTTTCGTTAATTAAGGTTTTTGATTTAAAACCAAGGGACAGCTTCGAAATCCAATTTTTAGTAATATCTTAATTGGATTTTAAAAAGGATTTTGATCGATTTTGAAATCGGAAAAAAATAGTCTTTTTAAGTCAGGTTTTAAACTTAATATTAGGGTCCAGTTTCTCCCCCGAATATTAAATACCCCCTAATTAATAGTAAAAACTACCTCTAGGTTTTCTTATTTGGGGGACGTTTAGTATTAGGGTGAAGGGATTAGGGTGCCAGGGTTTGACTCATAGCCATATGTGCTCCGGATCCATCCAGGATGATGTTGATATTTTCCACGTGTGTTCCCCACATTTACCGAGGCCGTCGACCAAACTGATCTGGGGTCTGCAACTCGCTTGGACACAATGATGGACAGGCCCACCATTTTCAAATTATCCCAAGAGCTCCAATCAACTCATTTGCATCTATTTAGTTTTCTTATGTTTTCTTCAACCAACTAGTAGGAATCTGGTCACTTCACGACTCCATTTTGTGACCATTATCCAGGTATCCCATGCTTTTATCCGGCGATCCTCCGATTTATTGTTAGTTATTTCATGCTATTTCCCCATACAGCACCCCGAATGAACCCTCTATCTCACCCAAAAAATTATTGAATCATTTTTTTCCCTATCATCAATGCCCATATTTCCCGGGATATACCCATGAAATCCATTGAAATCCCCCATTTTCGTGGGTCATATCCCCTGAAAAAAGGGTGCCCCCGATGGCACCCATGGTGATGGCCGCCTTCTTCACCTGATCCGTGTGGAGCCATCGAAGCAAGGCCTTCGAACATCTCTGCGGAAGCCTTGCCAAATGGGATGCTTATCTAACTTTCTCAATGGGAGCTGGCTAGTGGGGTAAATAAATAAATAAATAAATATATATATATATATGGGTTATATATATATATATACAAGATAGGCAAATATATAACTATCAGTTTTTATTTTCGAGATAATATCATGTTGGGGCTATTGTTGTTTGACTAACTCGTTGGTAGTTGTTATTCGTAGCTATAAGTTGGTTCCAACTATTAGTGATAAGCGTGTCATGGGTTCTAGATGACCATGGTTGGGAAAACCAATATAGTTAGTTCTGTGGGAAAAGCAACGAAATATGTAACTGCTGATCCTTGGGAACAAATCCCTGGGAAGTCTTTAAGCTCATGATACTGGACTCAAAAATGATTGGGATGTAATTGTTGAGATATATCTAAATGGGAGGGATAATAAAACCAAGTGGTTTCACGAGGCGATGAGTCAAGTTGGGTAAATGATAAATAATGAGGGTTGTAAACATATTGACCTGTCAACAATTGGCCAAGTTTTAGGGAAAAGAACAGTGGGAGCATGATGCAGTCCAGCTGGTGCAGGGTTTCATTTGCCCAAGGCCGATGTTGGACTGGAAAATGTAAAGATGGTGACATCACAAAATATCAAGAGTTAAACCAAATGATGCAACATGGATATGAATGGTTTACTAAAAAATCGCTCGATTCTGTAGTTCCAGGCCTGAAATTGACTTCTACCTACTTGCATTTCTGTTGTGGGACTTCCGGACGACTGGGTATTCCTGCTTCTGTAGGCCCAGGCGTTTTAGGTCCTGTCCCATGACCAGCGACCAGATTGCCTGAGGCAGACACGTGATTCCCAAGGTCTGAAATATTGACCCGGCCATCCCAGACCCATATCCCTTGCATCATCCGTGTGTATATGTGTATATCTTTATCGACTCGGTTTTGAACCACTCAAGGGATCCCTGCAGTCAGCCTGCTAATGCACACTTCTCTATGATGTGGGTCATCCTTGCACACAAAAACTCACTTATCATCTATTCACCTTCCTGTAAACTAACATGTGGAAAGCCCACCATTTGTAGATTGTTTTCCTAAGGAAATCATAAGTTTCCACATCTATCTTAGTTTACCCCAGAGTACATATTATTGTATGGGCCAACCGATAATATGTGCTGACCCGAACCGGTGGATGCCCACTCCCCCAATTGATGGTCTATTTTTGTCAGGAAAAGCAGTCATAGAGCCTGTATTATCCTCAAAAAAATGGAACAGCAAGATCAGTAACATCTCACTGCAATAGTTTTCCACATATTTCCACATTATTTTTCTATTGTTTTGCACTTGGCTGCTACAACCCATAACCATCCCATGGACCCACCCGCGGCCTCCGCCAAGCCATGCTTGGCCAAGGCAGCCTCTGCCCCGCGAAGGCACAAAACGTCGTTGAGAACCTCCATGCCGCGACAGAGCGCCAGTGACACCTGGGAGATTTTCATGGAGACTTCCAAAATGTTTTCAGGTCATGGATATCCATTGATGCTTGCATTTATGTATGAATATATATGTATATATAATTATCTATATAAGCATATAATATTATATATATAATGTCAAGTTAGGATTAATAAACCCCGCGGTATTAATCAACCCCCTCTGCCCCCAAAAAAATGTAATTTAAAAACAGGTGGTCCCCCAGGATTAAAAAACCGTTTGGCTGGGACATGATTAATCAACCACCAGTGCTGAAATCCAATTTTTTTATCCAAAAGTTTCAATTGGTTTCCTTTTGGTTTCCTTTTGCTATATTTAAGTTGAAACCGCGTGAACACCAGAACCCATCACTGCTGATCATTGAAAATGTGAAAAAACAACTATTCCCCAAATGATCGATTTCTAATTTCATCCTTTATAAAAATCATCAGTTTGGATAGCTCCCAAAGGGTACCCCCCATGAGCCCATGTCCCCCATTAATAATAATCAGGGTTTGCCCCTTATTAATCAACCCCCATGTCCCTAATGTTTTTTCTTTGGTTCAGGGGCCGTTTATTTAGGGTGGATTCAGGAAAGACCTTGCAAGGTATACCCTGACCTATAGGGGGGGGTTGATTAATCCGACGTTGGCATTAATATGGCTATACCATGTTTTACCCCAAGTTGTGGGGTCGACGGTTGCTGTGTTCAACCACCGGTCTCAGCCACGAAACTTATGTTTTATAGTTGAGCTGCAAAGATACACTATATAGTAAGCTTTGAGCACCAATGCACTGATAGGAAAGGGATCTGTCTGACACCAGGAAACCCCAACTCCATCAACTTTTTCAGTAGGGTTTCAACCCATCACTGGGCACTATTAGACCAGAAGGAGCAGTGCCCAAAAATCTTGTGTGAGGCGCTTCTTATGCTTATGTACACGGATCACTAAGCCTGGTGGTAGAACAGTGAGGTATATCTTTTGGCGGGTTCTTGTCCTCAGCCAATGGATTCTAACCATCAACCAACAACGGTCGGTCGTCCCGTAAACGCGCGCCGACAGGCTTTACCATATATGATCAACATAATCTCAATGAGCAACATCTTCTATCAGCGTAACATCAGACCCATGTTCGTGTAGCGTAACCACATGTGCTAGTGTAGCAACATGTTAGATGCCAAGTAACGTTATTAGCCCCACCCCACCCCTCCCCACCCCAACCCCGCGAAACACTGACGTACTTGGTAAAAAAAAACGTGCTGTGCCTATGGGAAGTGCGTTCAAAAAAATGCGCGTTTTCAGGTCGACCGCGCCACCAACAAAGGTCAACTGGCACGTCCCAAAAATGCAAAGATACCTGCCCGATGTTTTGGGGTTACAATACATGTCTATTTGGGTTGTTTGGGAGTTGGAGCTCCACTCTCTTGGGACATCATTCTCCCCCATGTTTCCTCACTATTCATGGCCATATCCTGGGGGTGAAATACCCATGTTCAGAAGCTCTTGGGACCCCGTTACAAGCATCAGTAGCTGAGTCAACTCGGGCCTTCTCTTCCGCAGCACTTTTGGAGTCCCGCAGGCGTTCCATGCTTTGACGCCACCAGTTCTAGGCGTCCAGCAGGAATACGGTGCGAGGAAAAGCTTAAGGGACCTCAAAGGTGCAACCAACCTGACTACGATATACTACAATATATCTAGTATTACTCATCACCGCCAATCATATTCATATATTATGACATATTATGACTATATTCTATCAGTAACTTACCAATAACCCAATAACTATAATGCATTATATAACTCAGAATGACTGATGTCCAAAAACAAAAAAAACACCTCGAAACTCATGGGCAATGGGGCTTCAGATTGGCAGAAGACTAACGGATTCCACTTGGCCTCGAAGACGGCCTCCTTGGCCAAGTCTCTGGCATCAACAGCTCTTCTGCAGTGACTTCGGGCATGGAAACCTCCTAGCAGCGATGGTGTTTGATCCCTGGAGTCCATTGGGGTCAAAAGTACCAACGTCCCGTAGATGATTCTATAGCAATGCCCACAGATGTATTCAACATAAACTACCCACAGATGTATTCAACATAAACTACATCTCCCACTCACAGCGTATCACACCGTAATTGATCCGTAATGGGGTTATAGATATCCCAAAAACCACCTATCAACTTATCAACGCCCAATATTAAAATGAAACATCTCAGATCTGCGGTCCTCCCCAAGGGCAGATTGGAACTCCAGCTTCATGCGCAGCTGCCACCAGGACGATCCGAGCGCTAGCGCCTGGTGCACCGGTAGCTGGGAGCTCCACCGTCTCCCATGATGTGTTGAAAACATCCCCAGTTTAGTGATTTTTTGGATAAAGTTAAAAAATGTGGGGATCTAAAAAACCAGTTTTAGTCAAAGATGTCAAAGCATCCCCATCATCATCATCATCATCATCATCATCATCATCATCATCATCATCCTCGTCGTCATCGTCATCGTCATCGCCATCGTCATCGTCATCATCATCATCATCATCCTCATCATCCTCATCGTCATCGTCATCGTCATCGTCATCATCATCATCATCAGCATCATCATCAGAAGCATAATCACATCATCATCATCTCACATATTCATAATCATTGTTCATCGTCATGTCATCTGTCGCATCATCCTCATTCTCATCCTCATCATCATCGTCATCGCCAACGTCATCGTCATCATCATCATCATCATCATCATCATCATCATCATCATCATCATCATCATCATCACCTTCATCATCATCACCATCATCCTCATCATCCTCATCGTCATCGTCATCGTCATCCTCATCATCATCATCATCATCCTCATCATCATTGTCATCGTCATCGTCATCGTCATCATCACCATCATCATCATCATCATCCTCATCCTCATCATCATCGTCATCGTCATCGTCATCGCCATCCTCATCCTCATCCTCATCCTCATCGTCATCCTCATCATCATCATCATCATCATCATCATCATCCTCATCATCATCCTCATCGTCATCGTCATCGTCATCGCCATCCTCATCCTCATCCTCATCCTCATCGTCATCGTCATCGTCATCGTCATCATCATCATCATCATCATCATCATCGTCAAATATCCAAACTCATAGAATATTTTTCAACGAAGACCCATGAAGCCCCCTTTTTTTGCAATCCGCTAACCATTAAAGGTCTCCATTTTTTTCTTGGTGATATCCTGCCTCAGTACGTCTCTGATGGTGGGGAAACCCCTGCCCTCTGCCGGTCGAGCCACACTGTCCATATCTGTGCTCACCATGGACATCAGCACCTGCATGTGAGGTCGAGCACGTTCCTTGGCAGATGCTGACACCTTTTTTCGGCAAAGGGACGAATCATCAAACCACATCCCACAACATCGCAGCCAGGGCTCCACCCATTCAGCGCTGGCCGGCAGCGTTCCAATGCCTTCCACCAGAGATACGCCCACATCATCCTGGAGCCCCGGGTGAATGGAACGGGTCCACAGGGCTCCGGGGTGTGCCAGGAACTGCCGAACTGCCCATGGCACGGCATGATGGGCTAGTGGCTACACCGCAAAGGTGGGTCTTGGCGAAAAAACAAATCCAGACCGAGACCAACTTCAACTCACATTCAATATACTATTCAAAGATATTCAAAGGTTATTTTGGAAGACAAGATTCGAGATGCACCACTTATTGATGTGCAATTATTTTGACCATGCGGACCCTATCAAGTGACAGCAAACACTGATCATCCGGTGCCTTCAAGAAGTTCATTGAAACCTCAGCAAAACCAAAACTTTCCTCTCGCATTGGCCCCTGGTTGCCACAGATTGACACATATTGATCAAATATTGATTATATGATTAATTAAACCTGGTGGAACAGAAATAGAAACTGCTGTGGCCTGGTCAAACTCACTTTGATACTAGTGGTTAAAATACCCCTACTCGTAGTGAACGTGGCACAGT